GGCTTGTCCCTCCGCCGCACCAGTAGAGAGCCGCAACGTGACCTCTGCCCCCTCTAACATGGCGTCGCTGTGAGCGTGCGGCCTTGCTGCAGCCGCCGAGACCCTGCCACGGGCTCGTGGGCACCTGCTTTGGCCGCAGCGAGTCCGACTGCTCTCGGAGCCGTCGCGGCCCCACGGCTGTGCGTGCGCGGCAGGGGGCGCGATGCTGAGAGGCCTGAGCAGCGCGGTGCGCCGCGGGCCGAAGGTGAGTCCCGCTGCCAGGCCTTCGTCCCAGCACAGGGGGGGAGGCGGGGTGCTGTGGCACTCGCACGACACCCCTAGCCGCGTGTCAGTGGGGAAGCGGACCTGCGGAGCGGTGCCAAGGGGCCGCTCCCCACGCGCCCGTTGCTCTTTGGGAGAAGCTGTCGTGCGAGTCTGCTCCGAGGCAGGGGCCGGGAGGGCTGGAGCGGGGGTAAAGGGGACTTCATCTACTCTTTGCACCTCTTGGCAGGCTCCAGCATAGATCAGAGCAACTCCAGGAGTCAAGAACAGACCTCCTGGCTGCCCAGAAATACCTGGGGAAGAGCCCGCGGTGGTGCCCTGCTCTCATGCTCCTGTTGGGGGTTGCGAGGGAAGGGGAAGCACGGTGCTGTTACGATCTATGCCTGATAGAAACCCATTCTACTCTGGGTAAAATTGATGTTGTGGTTCCTTTGCCGCAGCTTCCGGTTCAAAAAAAGTATTACCTATCAGAACAACGTCCTTTTACCTGTGAGTCTGATCCACCTCTAGCCCGTATGTCCTTTAAGCTGCAGACATTCAGTGAGGGAGGAATCACTTAATCTCTATCAACAAACCTGCCATCTCAGTGGTTCCAAATGAGCAATTGGGCTCCTGTTTTCTGAGCACCAGTGGACTATACTAGAACCTCACCTGGCCTGTTTGCAAGCTGCTGTAAAGCTTTTGCTATCTGTAGAAGCTCTTCTTATTAGTGCTTTGAACTGCAACATTATATCAAATCCCCCCCCTAAAAACTAGAAACCTCAAACCAAACGCTGGATTTAAGGCATAGATGCTTCAGGCTCTTGAGTCGCATGTTATGTCAAAATCTAAGCTATTAATTGAGAAAAGCAAGGGTTTTTTGAGGTAGAGCTTGCACTGACATCTACATCTGTCTGGAACAAACGTAGTTAAAATGGATATAACCCGCAAGCATGGATCCAATTTTTATTTCATTAATGTGATTTCTACCGTTATAGTTAATTCCCGTAGATTTACAGGAATAAAATAGGAGGCATTTTCATAACTGTAAAACTCTGTACATGCAGACCAAGTCAAAACTTCTAACTGGTGGGATTTAGAAAGGACATTTTGAAAATATGGGCTAAATGTAGCCCAGGCAGTACTGTGTTCCTGCTGTCTGCTTTTGCTGGGTGCCAACTCCAAGACCTGTTGTGACTGGGCAGTGGGAGTGTTGGCCAACACCACCTTGACAGAGAACTCTTGTGTAGCAGGAGAAGATTGCTGTAATTTAGCCCTGCTTAAACCTACCCTGGGTTCAATTGGTTCACTGAGCACAGAATATTTCACTATATCATTAACCCAGTGATTATACTTGCAAACTCTACATGTCAGGCAGTGGTCTTGACATGTAAACCATGTATAGGATTTAAAGAGCTGTGCATGACATAAAATCCACAACTCTGATCAGAAAAAGCAGAAGGCTAAGGGTTGATCTATACTACAGACTCTTGCTGGTCCTGTTTTCTGTGGGGGTGTGATCTCTAACATACTGTCCTGGCAGAAGCCCCTAATGTAAATGGTTATGCCTGCAAAACTGCATTTTTAGTAGTATAGCCTGTTTTGCAGAAAACAGGGTGCTTTTACTGTATGGGTACAAGGCACAGCTCTGCGTCATGCACACAAGGCATGCTTTGCAAGTAGAACATACTGCATTTTTATATTGGTAGAGTGTCTCATGTATTTGCTTTGCATGTCTAGAGTGGATCACTAATAGCAAACAGAGTCATCTAGTTGTTTCTTTTGCTATGTTACGCAAGCTAAACTTTTGAACTGACATCTGAATTTTCTTTCGTTAAGAACTAGATCATTATTCTTCTGCTTGTTTCAGGAGACCATACACTTGCTGTACAAAACCCTATTCATCATTGAGCCCTATGAGGAACAGAGAATCTTTTCTAATGATTTGTTAATCAGCTTGTGGCTAATGTGGCATGGATTCCTTTGGAAACAGCTCCACCTTATGGTTTTTGTTCTCCTGACAAGTCTTAAATTTACCATATGACAGTTGCTGCCATTTAAGGGGTTTGAGTCAGGCTGATTTCCTCTGGCAGATGGAAATGGAATGTAAATGGCACTTTGTATCATATCGTAGAATCATAGAAATGAAGGGCTGGAAGGGACCTCAAAAGATGATTGAATCTAACCCCCCTGCTCTGGGAAGGAATACTGCTGAGATCAAATGATCCCAGCAAGGTGTCTCTCTTGGAGACTTCCAAGCTTTGGAGCTGCACCACCGCCTTGGGAAATCTATTCCAGATGTTGGTCACCCTTACCACAAAGAAGTTCACCCTTACATCTGACATGAAACTATTGTCTAACAGTTTATGGCCATTGTTCCTTGTCCTCCCCTGGGGCACCCTAGTGAGCAGTTTTTCTCCCAGCTCCTGATATTCACCCCTTATATACTTAAATGGCCACCAAGTCCCCCCTCAGTCTTCTCTTCCCCAGGCTGAGCAGTCCCAGGTCCCTTAGATTTTCCTTGTAAGGGCCTGGGGGACAAACCTTGATTATTCTTCTGGCCCTTTCTGCACCCTTCCAACGTTCTCCACATATTTTTTTGAGGAATTGGACACGGTACTCCAGCTGGGGTCTCACCAGCGCTGAGCAGAGATGCTTCGGATAAATGCATCCCAATATGTTATTAGCTCTCTTGACTACAGCATTTTCCCCATAACTTAGTGTAGTCAACAAAATTGGCCAGCATGCTTTTCATGATAAAGATGTTGAACAGAACAGGCCCAAGAACCAAACCCTCTATAACAGTGGTGGGCAATGGTTTTGGGTGGAGGGCCACTTACTGAATTTTGGCAAGGTGTCAAGGCTGTATGATAGGCAGCCAGGGGCAGATAAATATTGATTTTCTAAATTTTTTTATTTAGGCTGGATAGAATGGCTTGGCAGGCTGCATTTTGCCCACCTCTGCTCTATAATTTGAGACTTAAGATCACTTGCGCACACCCAGACTTGAACTGCCAGCTTTTTGGTTACTAGCTTATGACTTAAGCCCTCCTGCCACACAGGAAGCTATTTCTAGAGCTGTGATAATTTGTCTTCAGGTCACATTTCAAATACTTGCTGCTTTTTTATATACTCATTCCCTGAGGTTAAATAAATGGAATTGTAAGGTGAACTAGAGAAGTGCACAGAATGGCATGGGAAGCCTCTGACTAACTTTAGTCTTGAGGATCAGTTGTAAACCACTGTCTTTTCCCTTCTCTGCTAACAAGGAACAAACTGTACCGCATTACTTTAGGTTGACTTTTTACTTAATTAAAGTGTTTTTGATATACCCTTTTGTGGGTATAAAATGGAAATAAGCTGAAGATCTGTTAAACAATGACCGGCAAAATGCGGTGTTCTTCCTTACCCAGTCACCCTTTCTAACATGATGATATGTTGATTCCAAGAGCTGTGACTCCTGTCAGTCCTGTGCAAGAACAGTTCTAGCTATAGAGCTGGGGACAAAAGACCAGTGCTCTGGTGAATTGCTGAGTCTTTGCTTTTCATTGCAAAGGGCAGCTCCATCTGAACATGCAAATCACCCTGCAGTGCCAGAAAAACTGTTTAAGAAATGTGTCCTGTTGAATTATCAGTCTACTGGGAATATTTTTAATTCAATGAACCACCTACTCAGGGGTTTTGCCAAATGAAATGGATCCATGAACTTGAATGAATTCAGAAAGTGTGGGTGTTATCTGTAAAGCTCCAGGACAGTTGTTAGACGACAGCTTGTTACCCATCACCCAAAGGCTTGTCTTGGTTCCGTGCCTGTTTTAGCATGTGTAGATGGGTTTCATGCCCTACTTCTAGGAGGGTGCAAACCAGAGATCCCAAAGGGAAACTGCAAAAGCAGAATCTTGCTTAGATTAGTTTACACTGATGATCGTGAGAGACCATCACTCCTCTGAGGATTACTATGGTATAGTTCCAGAACGGTGGGTAACAAGAAACTTAACTGGCTTCAAAAAATAACTAGATCGCTTTTCCCAAGGCAATAAGAAGAGGAGGTTGCCTATGAGAACCAGGGGCTATGTTTGATGGGTAGCTGACCCCTCTCACAGCTCTATCTTACATTTCTATGCTGCTATCTTCTTTTTTGGATCAGCTGTCTGGGGACTAAAAGGATGCCTTGTGCTTCATGGATAATCCAGCCTTCACTGGGGCTGAATTAAAGTTGGAGATGGTGGCTGTTGCAGTCTGTAGAGCTGTATACTGTGGTCTCCCCTCAGCCTCTGCCTGGAGCGTGGGGGATAGTTTGTTCCTCTGTCAGTGAACAATATTTAGACCAACAGTTTTCAGCCTCGTTAGAGTTGAGGCACTCCTTGAAAAAAACAGTGCTTAGTTTTCAGATGCTGTAGTATGGCAATTCTGTTGCAAAGAACTCAGAAAGAACACAACAGGTTGGAATGTTTTGACAGTATGGATTCCTCTTCGAAATCTCTCGTTTTATCTTGTGATTTATGTTTATACACCCAACATCACCCTAGTTGAGAATCACTGATCCAGGCGCAGCTTCTAGATACACCATCCATGCTTTTTTTCACCTTGGCCTACTAAAATTGTTGTCCCTTTACCTCTTACACCCCTACCCACTTTCAGGCATGTACCAGTGAGCTTCCTACCTAGGAGCCTGCATTAGCATAAGCAGCTGTTTGTTTCTACGACTCCTCTATTCCTAGGGAAGATTCTATATGTCAGAACACAGTGGTGGGGGCAGGGGGGAAACCAGTGCAGGAAATGCAGTTGTAAATATAAACTAGCTGCCACACTAATCCTGTAGTAACTGAGGTGATTATGGATTACTAAACAGCTGTCATTTGCACAGTATTGGTGCCATTCATCACATAAGTAGAAACATTACAGGAACTTCCCAGCAATAAGACTTCTAATGGCTGCTTTGTGCTCTTGAGCAGCCCTTTAATGGGATCACTCCTTTAGGCAAAGGCTCAGCTCTGTAGTGGCAGCAGGCAGACTTAAGCAAACTAAAAGGGTTTAGAAAGATGCAACTGAACTTGCACTATGGCTATAACAACATTACTATTCATTTCCACACAGAACTCTATCCTAAGTATTGTAACTTACTTCCTGAGCAGGGTGCATTACACTGACCCTTTCTTAACGTGTCTATAGTGGGTATGTCGCTGAACTTTGCCTATAATTTTTGGTGACCGAAAAGCATTTTTTTTCTCTCCCTAGTTGTATGCTGGACGTTTTCTCCACATCACTGCCAGGATTTGCTTAAATGCTACTGTTAATCAGGATGTCCAAATCCCTGAAGAGAAACCCCTGGCAATTTTCCGTACTAGTGAAAGCGACCCGGTGAGTTACTACCATATTTACTGTCGTGCCACACGGCTAACACCCTAAGATTGTCAGTCTATCCTTAAGTACCCTGGATATCAGTGCTCGCTGGACCATTCTTCTTAAGTAGGAATGAAGAGAATAGGCAGACCTATTATCGTGGGTCCAGACAGGCATGCTGTGCAGCTGGAGAGGAGGGCAAACTTGGTATCGGACACCATTAAGTTCAACTTCAGGATCAGTCTTCCCCAACTAACCACCACAAATTGTGAGGGAGGGGGATGGTACTGTAACTTCATTATCCAAAATGTCTCCCCACTGCACAGGCTTCACAATTCTAGCCTGCATCTCTCTCAAGCACAAAGTGAAGCAGAATAAATGAATGGAATAAACCTTTGAGGTGCTTTTCTGCAGCTGCTATAATTGGAGTTTCCTTTCTCCACTGATTCCTCTGGGGTCTCTATGGAAACAGCAGCATGCAGATGATCTAGTCATGTGATCAGAGCATCTCTATAGATGGCACAGAAGAGTCCAGATGGCAAGAATAGTCTCTACTGGCCTGTACCTAGGATTTATGTTGCCAGACAATTGAATTTTAGTTAGCATTTTCACTGCACATTTCACTGAAATATATTTGACAACAACAATCAACACTGCTTAGTGCATCAAATCCCTACAATATTTGTCCATATTGTAGATAATATTTTAAGGTATAGAATCGCTTCTGATAGCACCAGTGTCTAGTTATAGGAAAGCCTCATTAAACCAATGCTGAGGAGACTAGATAAAACAGCTGTCTTCATCAGTCAATCCTAAAGTGCCTTATAAAGGTCCACATCTTTATTCCCATTTTACAAACCGGAGAAATGGAAGGGTAAGGTGCCATGGCCCCCCTCCTGTATCTGTCCCCAAGCCCTAGCTCTGTGGGGTGCGGGGGTGTCCAAATCTTAGTTAGCAAAAAGCATCTGGAAAACCTGCAAGGGAGCTGAACAATGCTATAGCCAGCAGGAAGCGACGTAGCCTGCTGACTAACCTGCTTTACTACTTCAAAAGACATTGTGTACCACTCCCATGCTAAATAAATGAAGCTTGGAAGCAAGACGGTTCTGACCTTACAGAATACAATAGTTATTCTGCCAGGGTGATCCCTTATTTTGCCCTCCCCCACTACCCCCACCCCCAGTTCCTTCAGGAGCCTCTCTGCACAGCAGCACAGTCCAGTTCTCCTGTTTGTTAGTGTTTTGTATTTTACTCACAGGCCAACCATACAGAGCAACATGACTGTCAGCACTATAGCATCCCACTAGAGGAGGTGAAGGTGGTGTTTCCCCATGGACTGTCCCCCCGGTTCAAAGAGCAGGTAACTCTGTCTCAATGAAGGTTTGGAGGTTGGATTGGGAAGGGAATTGAGACTGGAATTCTTTTATTCTGGGGTAGAAGGGCTACATACAGGCATGTTTAAGCAGCTGTACGTGAGCCAGAGCAGAGCTTTTTCAGGCAAGGGGGTGGAGATCAGTGGGATGTTGCCTAAATCTCTCCATTGCAAATCCAAAATGTTACAGAGCTAAACTGTTCCAAATCACAGCCCTTACTCACCTTGGGTCAAAGAGACTCTCTCATGCAATGGTTTTAGATCAGCAACAGAGAACTTGCTCTTGCTGTTCATCAAAAGTTTAGTCAGTAGATACAAATGCCACCTTTATCAGTTCCTGAACTCAGATACAAATGAATCAAAAAAGGAAATTGGCAATCTAAAATTCTTTAGAGGTCCAATGCTTGTCAGCAGTGGAGCAACCTCTCTGAAGTCTTCCATGGCTCTTTCCTCTTCACCTTGGTCTTACCACACAGTGCCATCAGCTTCCTGGCTATGACTGGACCTTTGTAGTTCCTGAAGGCACGCGGGGAGTTTAAGACTGAAACACTGCTGTTGTCTACTTGCCCCAAAGTCTTTTCAGACTAATGTTTCACCCATTAATAACAAGACATAAATGAAGCCTGAATGAAGCCTCTGTATTTCTGAAGGGGAATTTACACCTGGTTCTGATGTGATCCATGAAAAACAAGGCCAACTGGCTTAAATGTGTTACAGTAGGAGGAAGGGTTGTCTGGTTTCTTTCTTTGCACCTTTAGGTGTTGGCCATTGGATACAGCTTGGGACACATCCTTAAGACTGCTATGCATTTACCCAGACACTGAATAGCAAGGAGTATTGTTTGGGTTTGATATTCAGAATAGCAGGTTACTTTCCAATGTGACAGTGAGGTCAACCAAAAGGACTTAGCATTCAAGTAATATCATGCTCTTGTACGTATTATAAATCAAAATACACTGATCTGTTGTTATCTGTCAGATTTTATGAGTTGAGCGTGTCATCGGGCCAGTGAAGATTAGTTACCACAGAAACAAAGGAAAGTAGGGCTGGAAGGGACCTCTGGAAGTCCAACCCCCTGCCAGAGGCAGGATCACTTCTGTCCAAACCATCCCATACACATCCTTGTCTAACCTATTACTAAAACTACAGTCAACCCTGTCACAGGGTGTAGCACCCTAACCTGTGACACAAAGCATGGGCACAAAAGCAGCCAGTGTCCTGCTGCTGCAAGTATTGTTAAAATATGCTTGAAAGTAAAAATCTTCCTATGAAGGAAGGTTAGACTAGAGTCAAAGAGCTAGAAAGGACCTCTAGAGGTTCTCTAGTCCAACCCCCTGCCTGAGACGAGAAATATATACAAGCCTGAAAATTGAACCCAGGTCTCCTGCATAGCAGGCAAGAATTCTACCATTAAACTACAAGCCTAAGCAATTGAGGCAGAGAGAGGAAGAGGCTAATTTTGTCACAGATGGTGCTATGGAGCCTAAAAAGACCTGCAGGGGTAGAGCTGCTAGTGCATGCTAGCAGCTCTGCATGTGAAACTGCAGGGTAGCAGCTGCTAGTGGATGCTAACAAGCAACTCTTTGTTCACATTTTTCTGTTTCAGATTGGGACCTTCAGAGAAGCCTGTCTGATGGTGCGGAAACCAGCTCTAGAGCTTCTCGGTTACCTAAAAAGCACTAACTTTGCCCAGCCAGCCATCAGATATGTCCTCTGTATCCTTTGCTTTTCTCTGTGCTGGAATTCAATAGAGCTTCCAGCAAACTGAAAGCATTGGTGGGATTCTAGCCTCATGTTGGGTTGGGTGTAGATGTGGAATAGCCTCAGCTTCCCCATTTCTTGCCTTTCTCGGCCACATCCAGACAAGCACGGCCATGCAATGTGTGGTGCCACAGACATGTCTGCACATTCAGTTGTTCTTCATGCTGCAAGAGAGCGGTGTGGGGGAAAAAAAGTGGAGTGGTGCACGCGGCAGCAGCATGCAGTGCCCAGAGTCAGAGCCTGACCAGCTGGAGCCACACTCCACTGCCAGCCAGCCAGGCTCCGCACTGCAGAGTCACCACTGCTGCAGTCCTGGGAGCACCCCAGGTAAGGCTGCTGGGGCCAGCCCAGTGCTCCCCTACCCCACCTGGGTAACCTGCCACGTGCCAGAACACACATGGCACAGGGTTCCCTGGTGGCAGCTAGTGGCAGCACAAGGTGTCCAGGCATCTGGATGTAGCCCTGAGGTTTTCCTTAATCGATGGTGTTGAAGATGGAGAGGGGGGAACTGGAAAAACAATGACGCTGTGCCATGCTGTTCATTACTGTGCAAAGCAGGGCTGGCTGGTGCTTCACATTCCAGATGGTAAGCTTAGAAGTGTTTTTTGAGTAGGAAATGCCATCTGTGCCTCTAACTAATCTATAGGGAAGGTATTGCTGGTGGAGAACCTTATGGATTAGGAGACTTGATTTATGATAGGGAGATTAAAGGTAAGAAGTGAAATACACTACAGTTGAACAGTGTAGCTCCCCCTGCCAAACACATGTACACACATGGCCTTCTGATGTGTTGCTACTAACTAGTGAGTCAGGTACTAGTACCCCAACGTAGGGACCTTGCTCTAGGCAAAGCTGTGCAACTCCTGGTTTTGATCTGGGGCTCCTTCTATGTTCACTGTATGCTCTGGAGAGTTTGTGGTGAATACAGTGAAGCAAGGAGGGAAAAAAATCAGGAGAGAAAAACCTAAGGATTTGTTAGTAACAGAACATGATAACTGTTTGCCACCTTTTTTTCTTTCTACCTCACAGCTCATCTCTTGGTAAAGAACTGTAGGGAGCTTCTGCAGTCTTCCTATAAAAAAGAACGGTTTGACCAACCTTTGCAAGCATCTTCCTGGCTCAAGAATTTCAAAACTTCAAATGAACACTTACTGAGAGAGGTTGGTAGAGCTGACCAAGTCGTTTGCATTAAGAACCAAATGAGAATCCACAAGTGCAGTTTCCCCAGAGGACAATATGGAGATATGCTTTCTCACTACCAATATGGGGTGGGGATGGCCTGGATCACCTCATTCTTCTGAGATGCATTTTATTATGTTGGGAGTGAGAGTGCACTAACGTTATTTAAGATGCCTCTACCCCTGCAACTTATTTGGATGTAGGTTTCAGTGGGAGTGGAAACACTTTAAAGAGCTCTTGGTAATACAAGCTAGAGACTTCTTTAGCCTATCCTTGGATGCTGCACAAAGATACTGTTCTTGCTCTCTATCTCCCAGCAAACATAGAAAGGGGAAGGATTCTATTCCCAGGCTTGCTGAGCCTGCATGGAAATGGGAGCAGGACTATATCAGTTGGATCCACCTGAACTCTTTGACCCCTCTTTCTGTTACAGATAAAAACACAACAAAAATACATGTGGAACAAGTGGGATAGCACTGAAGAAGGCACACCACTGAGTGAAATGTTAGAACAGGTGAGAACAATAACTGCCATTGGTATTAATGGAACAGGTTGATAAACTAAAAGTGATGCTGAGGCCAGAGTAGGGAATGAGAACAATTTTTAGTGCTTCTAATGGTCTAAATCCTGGTAAGCAGGAAGGGCTTGTTGTCCCCATGTTATTGATGGGAAAACTGAGACAGAAGTTAGTAACCTGGGCCCCAGCAGGAGTTGCATAGAAGAAGTCTGTTGGCACTCAGATTAGAACTTGAGAGTTTCTGGTTTTCATCCCTGCACTTAGTCCATTAGACCTGGGTGCCCGTTTGGGAACAAAGGTTGAAACCTCATGTTTCATCTCCCTTTGTGCTCCTCAGAGGGGTGGGTACCAAAGACTCCAAATGGTGTGGCTGGGAGTCATCTTTCTACTAATGCTGTGCTTTTCCCTCTTCTAGGGTATAACTCGAGTGAAGTCTGCCACTGATGTTATGGGGGTTGTGCTTAAAGAGTTAAAGAGGCAGAGTTCCCTTGGTTCATTTAAACTTCTGGTGGCAGTGGATGGAGTCAATGCCCTCTGGGGAAGGACAGCACTGAGGAAGAGAGACAAAACCTTTGTAAGAAATTACTGCTTTTGGTGTGTTTAAGTACATTTTTTGCAAGAGAGACTTGAGGGGCAGGTGTTATTTGGCCCTCTGGATGATGACTGATCTGTGGCTGGTTTAGCTAGACATCATTTTTTGTATTTCAAAGGGTCCTTTCAAAGTCTTCAGTGAAGATCATAGTGTAGAACATGAAATTGACTTCCTGTAGTAAGGGACAGCAGGGTATTCATTGAGAGGCCCTGAGGTGCAGAGATGGAGGAAGCACACAATCTGTTGGAAGTGCTGTAGGGAAGGTTCTTGCACCAGTGCTGAGGCAAACCTGGGAAAACTAGTGCTACAGGAGAGGATGCAAAGAGTGCAGACTATGTATGAGGGGTTCTAAATACAGGGAGGGCAATCTTCATTTGGATTCTGAAAAGTAAGGGGAGCCAGGTCATTAGGAGGGAGATAGTGGGCAAACCATGGCTTCATTCTGGGCAATGCTGTACCTTGGAGAGCTGTGATCTGGAAAGATCTTGGAGACAAGGAATGCAATCTGTATTCCTGACAGGAATGCAGTAGTCCCTGTGAGAAAAGGTTAAGGCCTTGGGAAGGTGAGACATGACTAGATCTGCAGACACAGGAGATTGGAATCAAGGGTGATGCCAGATTTTCCAAAAAGGCAAAGGAATGATCAAGGTGAGGCAGTGAAGAGAGCACATACCAGTTAGGCCAGTAGTTCCCAACCTTTTTGATACTGCGGTCTGCAGTGGAAGTGATTGTGGACCAGCATACCGTGGACTGGAAGTGACTGGCATACTGTGGACCGGCAGCCAACCCTTTTGGGCCATGGCCTGGTGGTTGGGAACCTCTGAGGTTAGGCTGTTGAAAGACCCGAGACTTGCTTACTGAGAGTCTGTATAAGTTAGGGATCTTGCTCAGTGGCACCCTTTTACCTAATCCTCGGAGCTAGTGTCTAAATTTAGTGTGACCATAAGTCTCATACGCAAAAAATGTACTCCCTTAAAAATATCTCCTCCCTTAGAACAGTGATGCACACACCCATGGGGGGCGGGGAGGGGGGCATGTTGATCTCAGGGCAAAGGTCTTGCTGCTGAGGAGCTGCCATCGCCTTTTTGACTCAGCAAAACACCAGACAGCCCCTAACTTCCCCTGACCTGTTCCTGGTGGGTAGGGTAGGAGCTTGGGATGCAATTCCTCAACCACCTGCTTCTGACACACTGTTATCAACAGGTTTCTCCAGAGGAATTGGCCCTGGTCCACAACCTGAGGAAGATGGTGATGAATGACTGGGTGAGTGCTGATACAAACCTGTGGATAACTTACTGTGCAGGGTTCTCACAGCTAAAAGCTGACACCTAGAGCAGCGCCGTCATCTTTAGGGCTTACTATTGGGAAGTATACTCTAATAGTTTTATGCTTGCTTCATTTCTTTCTTTCGTAGGCAGATGTATTCTTGAAAAAAACCCTTTATGTAATGCTTTGGTTAGTTGTCTGTATTTATTGTTTCCAATGCTTACCATTCTAACTTGTGTTAAATATCTGCTTGGAGTGGCCAGAACTAGAATAACTAGTATCTTGCCATAGCCTCTTGTACACCTCACGAGAGCGCTTCTCCAGTGGGAGACGCTGTAGAGCAGCTTTTGTCAGCCCGCAGGTCATGACCCAAAAGCAGATCGCAAGAATATATAAAAGGGTCATGAACAAACTTAAAAAATAGATTCTCCTTTAAAGGAGAAAAGTGTGGGAAACAAGCTTTTCCCTTGCAGGCTGGCAGCGCTCCAGTCTGCAAGGAGCTGCTTGGGCCCCCCCACCCCACACACTGGGAGGCTGGGACCTGGGGTGGGGCAGGGAGTCAGGACTGAGGGGCACTGGGTCAGCCATTGGTATTTACAAATTGATTCTGGTACAAAAAAGGTTGTGAACCACTGCTGTAGAGAGCCAAGCCCATCCACGCTGAGTGGCAGTGCTGCCAGTGAGGAGCTCCATTCCCGTCAGCACTGCCTCCTGAAAGAGGCTGGGACTGACACTGGCCGCCTGCTGCAACTATCATATTGGCAGCACCTCAAAACAAGGGACTGATGGTAAAGCATATGGGAGAAAAATACATGATATCCAGGTGTGTGCCCTGCAAGCTCCTAATTTATCTCCATATTTCAGAGTGGAGGTGCCATTGTGACTGCTGTTTGCCAGACAGGCTCCGTCTTCAAACCACACACTGCTTATTTACCCCATGAGCTGCTGGGAAATGTAAGTCATGACCTGTGGTTCCTTTGGTGTTGGAGCATATATAGAAATGGAAACAAAAATGCTGATGTGGAAGCAGCAATTTCAGTACATGTGCTAGCTTGAGTCTGCTGCTACCTGAACCTTGCTCCATTCAACCTTTTGCATGTTCTTGGCTCAGTCTCCCTGTTCCTGGGTGTCTACTGACCTCCCCTTCAGTTTGTCCCGTGTGCATGACTGTTCATATTCCGAAGTAAATTCCCCCAAATGGAAGGAAGAACTTGGACAAATGGCTTCTCCCTTTTCACCAGCCTCCTTCTGAACAAAAAACCTAGCTAGGCATCTGACTTCTCTTTGCTTTGTTCCCATCTAGGTAACATGCAATAGATACCTTCTGTTGTGAAGCAGTTCTTCCCGAACTTGCTCGTGCCTAGCAGAGCCTTATCCCTCAGCAGCTCAGGCAGCTGGGCTGAAGGTTTCCTGCTCAATGTGTCTGACGATTGGAAATTAGAGGGTCTGTTACATGCCTCATGCTCTCACTTTTTCCCCTTCAGGAGGGCTTCAGTACCTTGGAACCGTTCCTTCCCATCCAGGTTGCCAAGTACAATGAAAAGGAATTTGAGAGCTGTTACCAGTATTATCTGGACAGCAAGTGGCTTCAACATGAAAAAGGTGAGATCTGTGCTAGGGAACGAAGTGTACGCGCTAGGTGCAGCGCTTTCAGCTCCCATCTCCATTTCTGTTGCAAAACAGATGAGCCCTGCACCCTTCGCACCATTTTTACTCGTTTATTCAAAAGAAAAAAAAACGGTTTTGTTTTTCGAAACAGAAAAAACCCCGACAAACAACCGTTAGAGTTGCTAAGTGTGGGTAAAGCTTTCTTTGAAAGATGGGCGGTCAGGAGAAGGTGCGCTTCTTAAACACAAACCCTCTCGGCCCAGAAGTGTGTGTGGAGCCGCAGATCGGGATCCCTGTCAGAGCTGTGCTTAGAGTGGGGCGGGTTGTACGTGAGGGGTTCAGCTGAGCCGCACTTGGTGCATCTTGCAGCTCCTTTCCAGCGAAGGGGCGCGTCGCGGCGACTCCTCGCGCGGCGGGGCGGGGGCCGGGGGCCGGGCGCGGACGCTGACGCGTGGCTCGTGTCTCCGCAGCGCGGACGCCGGACGGGAGAGCGGAGCTGCTGTTCTTGAGCGACGCCAACCCCGCGCGGCTGGAGCGGCTGGGGGGGGGCCCGGGGGGGGGGGGGGGGGGGCGGGGGCCG